AAAGAAAGAAAGAAAGAAAGAAAGAAAGAAAGAAAGAAAGAAAGAAAAATTGGGTCGGCCACTTGGGTCACCCGATTTAGACCCATCCGCGCGGGGCTTCTACCCATCCTCCATCCATCGGTGGATGCTGCCCGCGCTGCGCGCTCCTGAAAGGGCTGCCCCGGGCTCGGCGGGGGCGGAGGCTCCTCCTTCCACCCTTCCCTCCCTCCCCTCCCCTCCCCATCCTCCCCTCCCCATCCCTGGCTGCCTGGCTCACTTGCACGCTCCTCTCTCTCTCTCTCTCTCTCTTCCCCTTCTGGCCAAGATGGCAACCGAAGGGCTGCAGGAGAAGGAGAGCCTGGCCGTGCTCAAGACCGAGGCGGAGAGCCTGAAGGGCAAGCTGGAGGAGGAGAGGGCCAAGCTGCACGACGTGGAGCGTGAGTCGGGGCCGGGCTGGGCGGGCTGCGCCCCTGGGCATCGCCAGAAGGAGGGAGGCGGGCGGGCGCTTCTCCTTGCAAGGCTATTGCAACCCCGGGCGGGGGGGGGGGGCGGCGGGGAGGGGGGCCCCTATTGCAGCCCCGGGCGGGGAAGGGGCGCCCCCTCCCCCGGGGCATGCAACCCTCCCTCTGCACGGGCGGCTGCCAGGCTGCCCGGTGTAAACAACGGGCACCGCTGGGTGGAGAGATGCCCGGCCAGCCCGAACCAGCGGCGGGCCAAGGAGACATTGGGGGGGGGGGGGGGGGGAGGGCGAGGCAGAGGAGACCCCTCTCCATCTTCTGCCTGCCTGCTTCTTTTTTTTGCACCCCGCCTCCTGCCCTTCTCTTCCTGGCGCCCTAGAAACATTCAAGCCGTCCCCATTTGCAACCGGGCGCCCTCCAAATGGCCCGGGCCCTCTGCCCCGCCAGGAACCCATGCAGCAGCTCAGCGGGGTTGGAGGGGAGCTAACTAGGTTTGGACGGGGCTGAGCTGGAAGCTGCTGCTTCTTTGTGTGTGTGTGTGTGGGGGGGTCGCCTTAGAATCAGTCCTCCCGGCACCCCTGGATTTGGGAGTTTGGAGTCTTTGTTGGTTTGTCTGCTCTGAAAGAGACTTGGATCTGCTGGTACCCAGCAAAAAAACAACAACAAAACACACCTTTGAACTTGGCTGGCGTTGTTGTCATGAAAATGCTTGCATAATTGAAGGGTGGGTGGGGAATCCTAACCTGGTTGAATTATAATATACTAAATGTATTTGGGGGTCCGACTTCTGGTGGCTCTGGGCAACAGAATAACAATAAACGTTAGCAGGGTTCTTGGAGGTCTTCTAGTCCAACCCCCTGCTCAAGCAGGAAGCCCTTTAGCCGTGATGGCAAACCTATGGCAGGTGGCACGCAGAGCCATTTGTGTGGGCACGCAAGCCACAGGCAGAATTAATCAAATCATGGCATGCACAGTGAGCTGATTTTCGGGCCTTATTCAGCCTTCCTGTGAAACGGGGCCCATTTTTCGTCCTACAAAGGCTACAGAGGCTTTCCTCAAGCCTCTGGGAGGCCGAGAAAGGCCTCAAACAGGCCAAAAATCAGCTGGGAGGCGCAGTGCAGATAAGGGGGCAGTGGGGGGGATCGTGCACGCAGGTGTGGGGGGGGATGCGCGCATTGCCTTCTGGGTGCTGACACACGAGCATGTACGCACGCATGCCATTTTTGTCACAGGAGCCCCAAAAGGTTAGCCACCAACTGCCCTATAGCATTCCAGACAAATGGATGTTTACAATAGTTGAATGGGTTCTCTAAGGCAGGGGTCTCCAACCTTGGCAACTTTAAGACATGTGGACTTCAACTCCCAGAATTCCTGAGCCAGCAACGCTGCTTTTAGACTTCCTGTTGCTGTGGCTGGCTGAAGAATTCTGGGAGTTGAAGTCCACAAGTCTTGAAAGTTACCAAGGTTGGAGACCCCTGCTCTAAGGACTAGGTGGGCTTTCGTTTTCTCGCCGTCGCAGTCCAGTGAGAGGTGCTAGGTTGAGCATAGCGGATTTCCCCACCCATCTTCCTTGACTGACCCCCTCCAGATGTGTCCAGCACCAACTCTCCAATCCTCAGCCAGCTGTGGCTGAGAGTTGACCAACAGATCTGGAGGACAAAGACCTGCAAAAGGTCGACAACTCATCTCAGGATGGGGAAAAAAAGGAGTATCATATGTCTTCATCAGCTTGAATTATTTATAATAAAGGCAGGATAAAAAAAAAATCTAAAAAAATCCCAGAATTCCCCAGCTAGCATTTTGACTTCAATTCCTAGAATTCCCCAGTCATCGCTAGGAATTCTGGGAGTTGAAGTCCACACCCTTGATGTATATACCATTGCATTATTAGAATTTTTTTATTTTGCAAAAAAACTGTTTGGCCATCAGGAAATCTGAATCTAAAGAGGCATTACTTGCTTTTCTCAACCAACACATTTTATTTTTCTTTTAAAAGCTTGATTTCCTTGGGCTGTTAAACAATTTAGAGGCATAGAGCACTTTCAGGACTGTATTGAATGCAGGGCATTCCAGCCAAAAGGAGAAAAAAAACTTGAGAAGTTTATTCCTGTCCCCTTTCTTGCATTCAGTTTTCTTTCCCAGGGAAATAAATGCATTTCACTGATATATTTTTTTATCTTCCAAGGAACTCTGAAATTTTTATAAGTCTTTGGCCTTGGGGACAAAACCCACCAAGTCCTTCAAGGCCTGGTGAAGCAGTTTCTCAAAGTGGAAAGTAATTGTGAAAAGACAGCGAATGTTTTAAAAATTCCTGACTTGTTCATCCATATTTGGCCTTCCAGCAGATGGGAATTAGCTTTTCCTGCCTGCAAGAAGATCCTATTCTGTTATTCCAAAAATATAACAAGAAAGCTTCTTCGGGATGCTGCTATAATGGTTGCTTTTGGAACGGCTAATCCATCACTGTGAGGTTTAAAGAGGCAGAAATGGGTTGCTTGAATAGTAGCCAAATAAGCCATAAGGCACCGCTCGTCAGTGCTGGGTTCAGGAGTCCTGCCAAAAAAATAACCCTGCCAGCAAAGACAGAGGAGTTCAAAGACTGTTTGGCCCATAAGTGCTCCGTTTGTGCAAAAGAGGAATATGTCCTGGAACTTGTCAAGGATGCATTGGGAACAAAACAAGCCTGCTTACAAGAATACATTTGAATTTTTCTTTTTTTGTTGGCCTTCTTTTTGGAAAGGTTTTGGAAGGCGAAGTGAAATTTTTCGATCGGCTTTTGAAACTGTCAATATTTGTGTGAATGGACGTTGCTTCTTTAACTGCAGTTTTAAGATTTGATGTGGTTTTAATGTGGCTCCCTTTTTTTAGGACAAGAGTTGATACTTTTTAAGGAAGCTCATTCTCTTCCCAGTAGAGAGGATCGCTCCTAAAGGACAGGATTATACCAGTAGTGAAATATTAATAAATATGGCTGTATTGGTTTAGGACAGGGGTCTCCACATTTGGCAACTTTAAGACCTGTGGACTTTAACTCCCAGAATTATTCTCTTAAACCAGACCTGTGGACTTTAACTGCCAGAATTATTCTCTTAAACCAGACCCGTGGACTTTAATTCTCAGAATTATTCTCTTAAACCAGACCTGTGGACTTTAA